GCATAAAATCTAACTATAATATCATTGTTAATGCACCTCACATGGTTTTGATTAATTAGTATATGGAAAACCCCAATACAGCATATACAGTATCAATATATGTATACTGTATAGTATATAATTATACACGCATATATGAAAAAAAATTATCTGTTTATATATACTTTATGTCGAACTCAATTGGAATCATGATTCAGAATTGGGGTTTGCAATTATTAGGGTTAGAATTAGGGTTTAGAATAAAAAAAAATTTAATTTTTTAGTTTGTATAATGTGAACCAAAATGACAAATTTCTCATCCGGGACTGTTCCGAATCGGATCGATTCCAATCCAGGGTGGAGTACAACATATATCAAAGTATGTGCAAAATTATATATAAGAACTCGCACATAAAGAAGCCATACCGATACGGTACATAGTTCATAACTTTTTGAGATTCTCTATTACTATAGCGATAGATATTCAAGTGTATAGATGGGAAAATCTTGACCCTATCAGGATATTTTAATATTCTTTTGGATCAGCATCTAATAGTTCCAATAGATAATCATCCGAAATTTTATTAACGTTAAATGTTAAAAAAAATAGATTTATGGTATTGATATGTATAGGATTGAATCAAGTAATTATTATAATGAGTAAAAAAGAGAATTCTGCATATATTAAATATGAGCCACGTTTTCAGGTAAAAAAAAAAGTTTTTTAAAACGTATCTGCACACGGACCACATCAGAACACGTCAGACCAAATTTTGTAATCTCAGAAGAAGAAATTATATGGTCAGGGTGTAATTGCGAAAAATATGGTTTAATCAATATTGTAGTGGGTTTTTGAATATTTTCAACGTTTTCTAGGTACGTGATCCTTAGTGACCACGTGAGCATTGCATTTTCAATTATAGATTATGTATGACAAGTCAGTCATCAGACAGGCGATGGGAAAAAAAATCAAAAGTAATTACCCCAGATTTTAAAATCAAAAAAGAAAGAAAACCCGCTTTTTCAATAACGATAATAATAAAGTCTTAAATTTACAATATTAACAATAAAGAATGATGAAATGTGGTTCGTAATTTACCACATTAATTATTATTAAAGATCTTGACTCAATAATGATGTCATTCTTGTTATTTGTGAAATTCTTTTATATAATACTACATTTTTTAAAAATTTTTTTAATGTGTTTCTTGAAAGTGACTAGCGTGTTAAACTTTACACTTGGCAGTTGACCAATGGTTCATAATATGCCAACTGTAGTAAGTGTTATAAAAACGCACGAATAAGCAGCATTTGATGTTACTGATGACAGTATGATGACATATCTTTTACATTATATATATAAGTGGATCCCCTGATATACATTCAATACTTGTTGTAAAAACGTCACCCTTTTTTGAAAGTTTGCTGCCGTCACCTTCACTCGTCATAAAGAGCGACGTCGTCAAATAGAGTTTTATAATATGCCTCAAGAAGTACAAGGACAAACGGCTGTTGACGACACCAAGTTGGCGACAGTCACTTCAGCCACCACAAATAAAAATAAACCAGACAAAAAACAAACAAAGACCGACGAAATTTCAAAATCATTAAAGAGAACAGCACCAACCGACATAACTGGACAAGGTGATGCAAAACGTAAAGCAACTTATATTTCAAAAAAGCCAATAGAAAAATCTGATGATAGTTCCACTTTAAAAGGATCCAATCCCAGTACAATTGCTGCAAGTGCCGCGGCTATTCTGTCTGGCGTTCCTTCAACCGTTGCTCAAAATGTAGCGGTTGATTTAGCACAAGTAGCACCTAAACATCTCACAACAGAAACTATTCCTGTTTCTACACCTTTAACAATAGATTCTTTAAACTCTCAGATTGCAGTAGCACCTTCAACTTCCAGTGAACAGTCAACAGTTTCCGAACACTCACCACCTAATATGGAAGAGCTTTTGAATAATAATCCCCAGACATTGGCTCAAGTTCAACTTCAATCACAAGATGTCAATTCTGGTGGTAAACGCGCTTCAACCTCTCGTAATCTTTCCAGTGACGAACGTCGACAACGACGACTTTTACGTAATAGAGTGGCAGCTAAAGAGTGTCGACGTAAGAAAAAAGCATATGTTGCAGATCTTGAAGAAAAAGTTACACGTTTGGAAGAGGAAAATATTCGACTCCATAAGGAAGTTGAAGAATTGAATTCAAAATTAGCTATAAGTGCTGCTCGAATGGATGAAAACGTTCGATTGCGGAAAGAAATAGAGGAACTAAATGCTAAATTTGCATTACGTTCCGGTAATAATGAAGTTAAAAAAGAATCTAAGTCACCTAAATCACTTAATAAGGGTGAGCCCAACAAATTTGAATCAAATGAGTTAAAACCAGCTTTAAAATCTTAGAGGGTGTGGTCGTTAAAAACAAATTTAGTAGTTGAAGGTTGATTGTTGTCTCTATTTCGTCAATTTTTTTTTTTTTTTTTTACACGAACATTTAAAAAAAACTGCGATTGGAAAATACCGTTAAATATTTTGTTTGCAGGCGTGTCCGTGTTTTTAGGACTCGCCTTATATATATTTTTTTGGTTTCGACAATTTTTCTTTTTTTTCACTATACACGAGGAGATGGGATTTTGGGAACGGGAAATGAAAATTTGACTAATAAATAAAAAAGTTCAATTCTTTAAAGAGTAATGTCCAGATATATATTTTACCGATTTACTTTTCTTAAATAATTTACATCGTTTTTTTAGTTGTGTAAGCAGTAAATAAACATTTAATATTTTCTGCCGTGATTGATATTATTAATAAAAATTATATAGAAAAAAATATCTTGGCGACATTTAATTCATTCTCGATTTTGATATATATATTTTTTATTTTCCATACAAAGTAAATCCATGATTAAGTAATTTTGACGGTAAAGGTGTCACTCTACCGGAAGGTTGCATTTTCAACATTGAAACAAATTCTTTAAAAAGATGTTTATGATCCTAAATTTTATAAATATTGATTTAATAATTAATAATAATAACGATAATAAAGGAGATAATAATAACATAATAATCCCAACCTCATTAATGAAAGTAACAGCCCATCCATGAGTGCCACCACTAGCACGACCACATTGATGAACATATTCATCAATAGAAATTGCCATATCAAAATTTACAACCATATTTACTATGGATAAATCTAGTCCTCTGCTTAATACACCAGTGGAAACGATAATTTCGTACTCTCCATTTAGAAATGATTGGAGAATTTGCGTTCGTTCCTTTTGAGATTTGTCACTATGCATACTTACAGTCCGTGCGCCACATTTTTTTTCAATTGCTTGTGATAATAAATCTGCGCCCATTTTAGATTCGACAAATACAATTATAGGTGGTCGATAATATTTTGGATCATTTAGAATTGAAAATAATTGTTTTTTTTTAGACTTGTTTTCTACCCACAAAATTGTTTGTTTTACTGGAATTATTGACACAGGTGGCGTGACGTTGTTTCCATTATTGTTATTATTAATTTTATTTACATTATTTATACGTTCTCCAACTATAATCTTTATATGATCATGAAGTAACAGATTTGCTTGTTTCTCAATATTATCAGGGATCGTTGCTGAAAACATAAGAATCTGCAGACGTCCTTTTGATGGTGAAGTCATTTTATCTATTATTTCATTAACCTGATTTTCAAATCCCATTTTAAACATCATATCCACTTCGTCGATAACAAACATATGAATATTAGTCATTATTAATTCTTCATATTGATTCATTATGTCGAGGAGCCGTCCAGGTGTAGCAATCACAATTTGTACACCTTTTTTCAACCGGTGAATTTGATTAGATATAGGCATACCACCAACTATAAGTGCTGTTTTCATGTTTTGTAAACCTATGATCATCTTTTTTGCTAGTTCTTCGATTTGTGAACATAATTCTCTAGTTGGCGCCATTATTATAGCATAAGGTCCACCTTTTCCCTCACGAAATTGTGATATTGTCCAAGTATGTATGATTATTGGTATTAAGAAGGCTGCGGTCTTTCCAGATCCAGTTTGAGCACTTGCCAATATATCACGTCCAACTAAAACTGTTGGAATTACTTGCATTTGAATTTCTGTTGGTTGTAGGTATCCGACTTGTTGCAAGTTATCGGTCATCTTTGGAGGTAATTTACAATGTTCAAATTTAGTAATAGGACGTGGAATATTTTTTCCCTGTACAATAATTTGATTTTTCAATAAAATCGATTGCACTTGAAAACTTGATAAAACTTTAATTTCTGGATGTGGTAAGTAAGTCGTTAATTGTGCATGAAAAAGATCTGAGGAAACTTGTAAGAGCGTTTGTGATAAATCCCCTGAAACAAATGTGGTGTCTGCGATATTATGTGAATATTTGGGAACCGGCTGAATAACTTTTGGTAAAGGCTCAGGAGTATTATTTGTTATCTTCTTTGTTCGTTCTATATCTATTTTCTTACACTCTATGCTGCAGACATCATGATCCGTTTCGTCACAAATATATTCGCCATATTTTCCGCTATAATAAGAATGTAGTTAATTAAAAGTTTCTTTTGATCTCGCAAGGATTCAATTCCTTGCACTCCTTTAATGGCACGCAATTAACAGTTTCAGTCATACCAAACGACACAAACTGGTTCTCCAGTCGATGCTTCTCGTTGTTGACAAGAGCATTCCTTAATAGGATCTTCAACCTCTTCGCTGTTATTTTTAACTTTCTTATTTGTTTTGACAGGAGTTGAGGAAGGTCTTTTTATCGTTCGAGGCACAAACATTGTTGAAACTTATGGAAACAGATTTATCATTACTTAAATAGTATAAATTTTATTAAAATGATTGGTTAAAACGTTAAGTTACGCGATCAGCTGGATGAAAACTATAAAATCACTGGTCAAACGGTGGTCTAGGTTTAGTCTATTAAATTTTATACAAAATACTGCATATAAATATACAGTATATATAGGGTTAGCACGGACTAGTTAATGGTCAAGCTTGACCAGACCAGTTTGACCAATTTGACCAGTTGGTCAAACTGATCAAATTAGTCAAAAAATATTTAAATATATAGTATATACAGTACTTGACCAATTGGTCAAAGGGTTTAGTATTGGTTATTATTTATTTAATAGACTAAACTATTTGACCAATTTGATTAGACCAATGAATTTTTAGTTAACTAGTGATTTAACCAACCCTGATGCCAACACATCTTATTATTAAATTTAGTATTTTAGGATTTACTAATTAGTATCCTTAAGATAAACTTAACAGAGTAATTTATATCTAGTAATTTAAGCCAGCTATAGTAGCCTTAGCTAAGCTGGTTTAGCTGCTAAGCTAGCCAATGTAATGTAATTAGCCAATATAGTTAATGATTATATTGTAATATAGAAAATCTAGATTGGTTAACTATCTCTTAAACTGTTTCTAGACAAATTTGCCTGGAATTTTTAAATTATTTAATAAATAATACTATAATACCAAATTATAATAAGTAAAAGCCCTCTAATGTATGATTTTTCAAGATTGAGAAAACCTGATCAATTATTTGACAATAAAATTTCATGGCAAATTTGCCTAAAAAACAGTAGTTGTTTTTTTTAAAAAAAAGGTTGGAATAATTTACATGTAGCCGTGGCTACATGTAGCTGTATTTAATAATTCGTTAATAACTCAAAATTTTACTAAAGTAACCCTGTTGTGTAACTAAGTAAAAATGCTCCTCTCACAATTTTACTCTAACACCAAACCCTAACCCTAATCTAACCCTAACCTAATCTAATCTAAACCTAACCCTAATTATTAATAGCTGCAAAATTTTTTTTCAAAAAACTATATTGATAGTACGGCTACATGTAGCCTCCGGCTACAAATAAATTAATTCAAAAAGGTTAATATAAATGTTTAAGATTGATAATCTATTATATTACATTACATTATATAGGATTATTGATCTTAAACATTTATATTAACATTTTTTTTAAAAAAAATATCTACTGTTTTTTAGCCAAATTTGCCTGGAATTTTATTTTAAATGATTGGTTAAATTCTTCCAGTTTTAATCATTTGATTACAAATTAGCATTAGCAAACAATAAATACATATGTATATATATCAGGTATATATATATACATACATATGTATATATATATACAGTACAAGTAATTACATACTACTGTAGTATTTTGCCTTACAGATTAGGATTTTACTCTTTGTCTTTGTCTTATCTAACTACAATTTTGTCATGACAGTTGCTTGTACTGTATTTAAATATTATGTTAAAAATGTAGAAATAAAATATATAGCTTAAAATCATATCCCTTAAACTGTAGAGCAATTCCAGTCAAATTTGCCTGGAAAATTACTATAAATTTGTTTATGATCTACTTTTTTTAAAATTTAAAATATTTAAATAAAATTATTTTTGATAATA